TTTTTAGAGGCTGCGGACAAACGCCTAACTTCCAGCCGCTTTTCCAATGAAAACTTGTCTCCGGCAGGCTGTCCCTCGGAGAGGCCACGTGACGGTGCTCTGAGAGGGTCTGGAAGACCAGTTTCCAGCCCTTCCCATCGCCTGCTGGGTGTGCCTTTGGGCAAATTCCCTCCCTTTATGGCTTGTCTTTCTCTCTCTGCCTTTGTGTTGGCCTTTTGGAAGGAAATGTGCAGATAGGGTCACCCCGGGCAGCCCCGGACCTGGGCCCACCCGGTCTGGAGAGACGGGGAGATGACGGCTGCCAACCAAGGACACACACTGAAAGGAGGACCTTCCTGGAGGAACCTGTTGGGTCAGGAAGGACTCTTGATACACCCAGGCCTTAAGTAATTAGATAGCAGAGAGTAGACTCCTGTGTGCTTCCCACGAAGTCCCGGAAGTCGGAAACGGACCGAAAGGTCCTGATCGGTTCTGGAGGCCCTGCCACCCCCGCATCGATCTGCCTGGCTTTATTCCATCAGGCGGCTGCCAGGTTTTTCAATCGAGCTGCTGGAGCGGGTACTGGTGCAGGGCCTTCCTCAGTTCCCAGCCCGGCAGGCGAATGTCCGCAGGGGCGGGGTGAGGTGCTCCGGTCACCCTAATGTTCTAGGCCTTCTGGCGGGCCCCGCGGTCACGCTCTGACGTCGGTGCCTGCCGCCTCCGGACCTTCGCTAGGTCCTCCCCACCTCGGTCCGGTCCAGCTCGCTGAGCCCCGGGCCTGCCCTGCACCAGGGCTCCTGGCACAGAAACGCCACAGCAATGATCACAGTGAGGGCCGCGGGGCCCACAGGGGGACGGAGTGCGGTGCACAGCGGATGACGAGCTGTGTCCACGGCACACGCGGGGCTGATGAGCTGCGGAGGCCTCTGTGGGTGCTCGCCGCGAGCGCTGTCCTCCCCTCCCCCGGGCCTGTCCTGCTGGCCGCCTTCAAAGGAGGGGATGCTGCTGGACCCACACAGCTCTGTCCGGTGGCTCTCCACGCGGGGCTGCACTGAGACTGGAGGAGGGGGAGCAAATTGGGCGCGCTGGGGGGAAGGCAGGCAGACATGTGCACGCAAACACCTGCTCCAGGGGACCAGCGCTAACGCGGTAACCAGAACCAAGATGGAAGATGCTCTTATGCCCGTCACAGAAAGCACAGCCTTTGGCAAGTCAAACCTCTCTGGGCCACAGCACCGTTTTAGGGGGGGACACACATGCAGGCACCCCGAGGGACTGCAGGCAGGGCTGCAGGGCAGAGTGGACCTCCCCCACAGGGGCAGTTTGAGCCGTTCCACCCTCACCCCATCCCGGGGACATTTGGCAACATCTGGAGGCATTCCGGGCTGTCTTATCTCAAGGGGTGCTACTGGCATGTAGGAGGGGGAGGCCAGAGGTCCTGCTAATATCCTTCGTGTGTGGGACAGCTCCTCCCCAACAGGATTTCGCAGCTCCAGAGTGTCACTAAGCGTTGAAGGTGAGAAACCCGGAGCCGGAGAGACAGGCTCACGTGAGGTGGGGTTTGAGCAGAGCCTGGAAAACGGGGACAATAAGGCCTGTGCCGCTCATCACACAGTTCTGTGAGGCTCAATCTCTGAGTGTGCATGTTTTAGAACTTTATTTCCAGCCCTAACCGGTTTGGCTCAGTGGATAGAGCGTCGGCCTGCAGACTCAAGGGTCCCAGGTTCGATCCCGGTCAAGGGCATGTACCTTGGTTGTGGTCACATCCCCAGTAGGGGGTGTGCAGGAGGCAGCTGATCAATGTTTTTCTCTCATCGATGTTTCTAACTCTCTCACCCTCTCCCTTCCTCTCTGTAAAAAATATCAATAAATATATATATTTTAAAATTTTATTTTCAGAGCTCTTTCCTGAGCTTTTCCTAGATTGAGGCCCCCAGTGAGCAAAGCACCCAGCACAGTGACTGGCATATAGCAGGTGCTCAATAAATTAAAAAGGAAAAAGCAGCAAAGTAGAAGTCCACTCCCTCTCTGGCTTGTTTCCTCTACATCTCAAGGCTGCCTTTCTTGGCCTAGCACCGAGGTCGGCAAACCGCGGCTCGCAAGCCACATGCGGCTCTTGGGCCCCTTGAGTGTGGCTCTTCCACAAAATACCACGGCCCCGGCGAGTCTAGTTTGAAGAAGTGGCGTTAGAAGAAGTTTACGTTTCAAAAATGTGGCTCTCCAAAGAAATGTCAATCATTGCTCTGTTGATATTTGGCTCTGCTGGCTAATGAGTTTGCCGGCCACGGGGTTAGACTTTCCGTTGGGCTCTATACAGACAGGGGGCTGTGGTGCTAGCAGAGCTGTTTTGAAAGCACCCTTGAGGGATCACGCCCAGGACTAACCATACCTAACGACAGACATCTGGCAAGAGGCTGGGAAGTCTTGCTAAACCTTGAGGGGAAGCCTCCTGGCGCCATGCAGGAGCCGGTGCTTCCGGCCCCAATGGGGCAGGATGGGGGGGGGGGGAGCAGCCCCGGGACTCAGCCCTCAGGCACCTGTGCTCCTTGAGGCCGCCCTCCTCAAACAGCCACCCCCGCTGTGAACACCACCTACAGGACACAGGCTCGGAAAGCGGGCAGCTCGGGTGGTGGGGGACGGAGGCAGGGAAGCCAGGCCCCCCACGGACCATCCCTCTGGTCCCTGTTTCTCCCCGCCCCCCTTCTGATGCTCCCGGCCTTGTGCAAGCCTCTGCGGGGGGTGGGCCAAGGGCATGATCCACCCTTGAACTTGCCATCCAACTGGGAAGGCCAGCTGTCCCCTTGAGGCTGGATAGAGGATATGTCAGGGAGTGTGTGCGAGTGCTGGGACAGAGAGAGGGCAGAGGATCTAAGAACCAAGGAGCCAAGACACAGGACGGAGGGGCTGGGCCTGGGCAGAGGGGCGCTTCAGGAGCCGCATTCTCGGGCATCGGGATTCCCAGCAACCTTTGCACCCCCGTCTCTGCGCAAGCATCTCCGGGCTGGAGGGGGTCAGAGGCCACTTGTCCGAACCTCTGCTGGGGGTGAGGAGACTGGGCCACAGGGGCGGTGCCTGCACTCTTTCCCATTCCTCTGCGTTTGCTGTCCACCCCATTCTACGGGGCCAGCTACCCCCGCTCGGCGCCCAGGGAAACTGGGCCTGGCTCAGGGCCGTACTGACTTGGGCCTTCCAATCTGGTTCCTCCTACGCGGCAGGACGGGGAGGGTGCCCGGCCTGCTCTGGGGCGGAAGGGAAGGGGGACGGAGCCGCTTTTCTCACAGAAGCCCTTGCGGAATCGCTTGGAGCTGGTCCCTCCCCGGCCTCCTCCCCGGTCCCCAGAGCTGCCCACTGTCCGCACCCACAGCGTCCTCTTCCCCACATTGGCCCCCACCCACCTGTGTCCCACACCGTCAAGGGGACGGCCATGGCCCCCAGTTGCCCGTCTCTCCCTCCCTGCCTGCCTGCCCTTCCAGAACAAGCACGTGCCACACTGCCAGGCTCTGGGGCATGAGAAGCACTTCTCAGAACGTGTTTAATCCTCACAAAGGCTCAGGGGGTGGGTCAGGGTCCGACCTCAGGATGAACAGAGGAGCCCTGGGAACCAGGCTCGCTCCCCCCTCCCCCCCCGCCCCCGCGCACACACCACCACCCTCCCCTCCCCTCCTCGCGGTTCTTCTCCAGTGACTGCGCTGTGCTGGCCACTTCCCGCTCCTCACAGACATCTGCTCACCTCAGCACGGCCGGGCGGGCCTCCCACCAGCCTCCTCAGACACCTGGGCCCTCCCCGGTGCTGCCGGTGCCCCCCGGCTTTGCAGAAGGAAAGACACAGGAGACGAGTTTGGTTGAGAAGTGAGAGGTCTGGTGCATTCAGGGTTCACAGCGCTGGCTCTGACCCCCAGCACCTGCCGGGGTGGGGGTGGGGGCCGCTTGCTGAGCCTGCAGTTTGGCAATTTCTCAGGTGTGCATGGGCAAACTCTCCCCGCAGACCCCGTCCACCGTGAGTGAGGGTGGGGTGTGACTCCAGGCAGTGCTGCTGGCCTGGCACCGTGGTAATCAGGCCTGTGGAGAGCCCGAGGGCCCTGACCAGTCTGCCTTTCGGCAGGGGGCTAAGGCTGGTCTTTGGCTGAAATGTAACCAGACGAGGAACCTGTGTCCTGGCTGGTTGATGGGGGTGCAGGGGGTGAAGGGCCATCTCGGGGGCGGGGGAAGGGCCTGCGCTCCTGCCAGCCTCCCAGGCCACCAGAATCTAGTTTGGCCAAGCTTTGGGCTGCAAATCAAGGCACATTGGGGGAGGGAGTAGCCCCAGGTGAAGGCACTACAGAACCCCGTCATGGCTTACAGGGGGCAACAGCCAAGGAGGCCTGGACCCCCAGGCAGAGAGCTCTAAGATGGAGCAGAGTGAGGGAAGGAGCCCTCAGCATCCACGTCTGCCGCTGCCGCCCGAGGGCTGTCTGATCCTCACGCCATCAGAGTGCAGAGCGGGAGGGAGCCGCAGGGACCGCCCGCCCGGGAGGCCACATGAGCCGGCGTCCTAGCTGACCCAGTATCCTCTGCCTCAGTGCGGAGGCCCGTCTTCTTCCCTTGTATTCCATCAAACCTGCCGGGGGGGGCCAGGAGCACCAGGACGCCCGGGAGAGGAGGAGCCAGGGCCTGGGGCTGCCCGGGAGACCCTACCACATGGAGGCGGAAAGATCCGGGGCCCTGCGGGGCGAGGCTGGCCTCGTGGGGGGAGGGAGTCGGGCAGAAAGGAGAGAGGACACCAGTCAAGCTTCCACTTCATGTAAACAAGGAAGAGCGACCCCTGCCCGGCACCCGCAGTCGCGTGGAGGCGCGTGGCCGCCGAGGGATGGGGCAGATCCTCACGTCTGGGGTGCAGGCTCCCTGAGGCCGGGACGGAGGCTGCCGGGCAGGAGGACAGGAGGGGTCCGGTGTGCAAACTGGTGCGGGTTTGACCTGTGTTCGCCACAGGACGGGGCGGCGGCGGCGGCGCGTCCGGGTCCTGCCCGCCGCGGGCCCGCGGCTCAGGAGATCACGCAGTTGCTGGCCTTGGCAGGACTGGGACTGGATTTCCCTGCGGAGACAGGGGACCCGGGCGGGAAAGGATGTGAGTGAAGGGCTCAGGGGACTCGGCTCCGGCGCCTCTCCTGGAAGCAGGGCCCCGGGAAGCAAAAGGAAAGAGTCTCCCCGCTGTGGGGTGGGCCATCGAGGGATCTGCCCTCTTCTCATCTTGGGGGGGGGGGGAGGAGGGAGGGCCGCCATTGGGGAGGATGTAGGCCCCAAACCAACAGATAGAATCAGCGACAGAAAGTCTTGCTAGGAGGCGGTTCGCCTGTAGCTGAGCCCACGGGCATAACCGTAGCCGTTCTCACACCCATGCTCACGGCAGCCGCGCCCGAGACGCTACCGTCAGCCCAGAGCCTCTGGGCTCCAGAACCTGGTTTTCCAAATCCAGGCGCAGCCCCCCTCCGCCAGGCAGGCCGCCTGGGTTGGAGAGGACAGGCTGCGCCTCGGGAGCTGGGCAGCTGGCCGGGAGCCGGCACCGCGGCCGGCCCACGTGCATGGGGAGGCGGTTTGAGTGGAGGGAGAGGACACAGTCCGGGGACAGGAGGGAAGGCAGCTGTGCCCGGGGCTGGAGAAGCAGGTCTCCCCTCCACACGCCCTCCCCTGACACCCCCTGCGGAGGTCGGTGGCTCCCTGGGCGGGATTGCCTGCTCTTAGGCTGCCAGGCAGACACCGGCCGCTCCCGGCTGCCTCCGAGGCCTGGCTGCTGGCCCCGGCCCTGGAGGAGGAATGGCTGTTCCCTGCCAGGTCCTTTCCACGCGGCCAGGGTCAGGGCCTCACACCACCGTCCCTTCCCACTTCAGCTGGCAGTTGAGGTGCTGGTTGCCTCTTCCCCTGGGCCAGGAGGGACCCTGGAAGGCCGAGTGGGGTCCCTCCCCCCTGCCCTGCTCCATCGGCTCTCCTTGGGACCTATAAGCCCAGCTGAGCTCCTTGGAGGGGTGCTGACGGCACAGAGAGCTCAGAGGGGGTGACTGTGCCCCTCCCCTCCTGGAGGGCCCCAGGGCCAAGGAGCTGAGGCTGCCCCCGGTGAAGGGACAACCTCCTGCCGCCCCACGGCCCCTTCTGTCGGCTCCAGAACCGATTTTCCTAATTCAGGCGTAGCCCGCTCCGCCAGGCAGGCTGCCTGGGTTGGACGAGGACAAGCTTGTCCTCAGCAAGGTGGACACGTCTGTCCCCACTTCTATTCCTCGTGGCTGCTTTTACTTGCTTGGCCCTCTGAGCCGGTGCCACGGTCCTCCCGGGGGCAGCGGCATTTGGGAGGCGGTAAGTGAGATAAGCCGGGGCCGGGAGTGGGACGGGCGGGGGGAGGGGGGGTCAGAGGAGCCTGCACCCCCCGCTGTCCCCGGGGAGGGCAGGAATCCGCTCCCACACTCATGCCGAGAGACTGGATGAGAGCCTGGGGAGACCCTTTATACTCGGAATTCATTGTCATGCCTCTGACAGGGAAACTGTCTGAGGGAAAATTCTTTATGTTCCATAGCTCCCTCAGCGCATGCCGGTGCTCGGCAAGGCTCCGAGGCAAATCAGACCTGCTCCGATTAATAGGGGAGAATCATGAACAGCCCAAGTACTTTTTTTTTTTTTTTTTTAAATAGAGAATTTGTGGCATGGATGCCCGGAGGAGGCTGATGAGAGAAAGTCAAGCTTCAAAAGGGAGGTCACACGGAGTGAGACTGCAGGTGGGGTGGGAAGTGGGAGGAGGCAGCATGGAGTCAGGGAAGGAGGGGGGACAGCCCGGGGCAGGGGGAGAGGTGGGCGGGCCACAGCAGGATGAGGGCAGGAGGCTTTACCATCCCTCAGGTCTCAGGGCTCCACACCCCCCTTTTCTGGAAGGTTCTTCCCCTGGATGTCCACCTGGCTCTCTCCCTCCCTCCATTCAGGTCCCTTCCTCAAAGGGCCTGACCGCCCGCCTCTCTCTGCAGCGTGGTGTCCACTCCGTCAGACCGGGACGGGGCTCACGGTGGGCACGGCTGCCCCGGAACGGAGGACGCGCCCGGCCCGGAGCAGGCTGTGCAGAGACGGACATTCGTTAGGCGTTAGTGGGTGACAGGCAGCTCTGGCCAGGTGGCTCCGTCGGTTGGAGCATGGTTGCAGGTTCGATTCCCAGTGAGGGCACATATTTAGGTTGTGGGTTTGATCTCTGACCAGGGAGCGTGCGGGAGGCAACTGGTCAGTGTTTCTCTCTCACACTGATATTTCTCTCCCTTGCTCTATGTCATGTGAGGATAAACAACAACCACCACCACCACCATCACCAATACACGCACAAAAACGAATGGCATCAACAGATGGGGACAGGCCTGAATGTTCACTGCAGGACATGCGCCCTCGACACTCACCTCACCACCGAGATGGCGACAAAGCCCTGCCCAGGCCCCAGAGCAACCGGAATGGCTGCAGGGCTGTACCCTCCGCCACGAGAACAAGGGTCCCGCCTCTTCCCTAATGGGATCAGCGCCGTGAAGGAGGCCCCTCCGCTCCCTTCGCCGGTGCCGTGTGCCCGGGGCCTCAGTGGCGACTGTGCCCAGGCTCACAACACGGCACTGCGGCTTAAACGCCGGCTGGGGTCAGGCCCCAGCCCCCCAGGAATGGCCCTGAACTGTGGGCAACTTAGTGCAGAGCACGGTCTCAGCCGAGAGAGAAACCGGGAGGAAAAGTGCTCAGCTCCGCCAGTAGAGGGCGCCGTGAGCCTTCACACCAGCAGGCGGCCCCCTGCTGAATGTCAGCCCAAAGGAAGGCGTTTCTCAAGGTCCTCCCGAGGCCCGCACTTGGGTTTGCATCAATTTCACAGGCTGTCAGCACCTCGCTTTCCTGCTTCTCTCTCCTTCTCCCACCCTGTCGTCAGCCCAGCTCTCCCCTGCAACAGGGAAGCAGAGACGGGAAGGACAGAGACAGACTCACAGCTCAAAGGGACCTTGGAACCCCTCCCCCGCTCACCCCGGCTCTTCTGGACCGGGAAATGGCCCTGGGAGGTGAAAGGGAATGTCCAGAGGGTGGGGAGCAAGGCCTGGGGAGCCGGAGCGGAGGCCCTTGGTCGGCTGCTGTGATGATGGCCTGAATGTTCACTGCAGGACAAGGACCTTTCCCTGGACCGGGGGCCCTACGGGAGCAGCGGACAGTCCGAGTGCACCAAGGTTACTGGTGCCCACCTTGGGGTCTCCGTGCTGTCAGGAGCCTCACCCTCCGGCTTCCAGTGACTGAGGGGAGGCATCAGACAGCCGGGACTTGGAGGGAGGAAAGCAGCAGGGAGAGGAAACGTCTCATCAGGGACTTGAACTTCAGGCCCTCAGGTACCGGTGCCCACCCCGGTGGGCAGAGGCTGTGCTGGACGAGGCCACTCCGTGTTCCTTCTAAAGAATGGCGAGGAATCGAGGGATCTTGCTGGGCACCCCTCGTTGTGACTCTCGAGTTTGCTGTCCTCTCTCTCACCATCTCTTCGGGTGTCGTGCTCTCTCGGGGTGCCCGGCCCGGGGGAGAGGGGCTTCCCCAGGGCACAGCCCAGGGCTGCTGGGCACCGTGTGGGTGGCGTGACTGAGCAAAGACAGCCCAAGTCACAGAGATGCTGAGAGACTGGGGGGGGGGGGGGAGGCAGCAAGAAGGGACAAGACAATGGGCCTTCCGTTTCTATGGAAACAGCACCTCAGGGTGAGGGGCTGAGGAAGAGAAAGCTTCCACTTCACCTCCGTCAGGACTTGGGAAATGGCCCCTCTTGCGGCTGGGCTCAGCCCTCCCCCTCCCTTCCCTGCCAGGTGTTCACCATGGCAACCCTGCCTCCAAACAAGAGGTGCAAAGCAGCAGCAGCATCTGGTGTCAGGGGGAGCCAGGGAGCCGAGGGGAAGCGGAGCCTGGGTCCTGGCCAGGGTGTGAGTCCTGGGCCCAGTCCCCCCCCGGGGTGGGGGCCACTGAAGTCACCTCTCCTGGCTTCCAGGCTGTTGTGGGGCCAGTGAGAGAGGAAGCACCTGGGGAGGGACCTGGCACATGGAGGTGCTCAGGAAACGCTCCCCTGGCCAAACAGGGGTGCAGCAGGGTGCTCCCGCGGGGCCCCGTTCACCGAGACGCCAGGCCGTCCTCGCTTTAGGAGCAGAGTGTGCCAGGCTCGGCGGCAGGCTGCGGGGTGAGCGGAGGGGGAGAGCCTGGCACTCAGGCCGCTCACTGCGAGCTCAAAGCCGGGGCTGTGGGCGGCGCAGGGGTCCTGAGCGTGCTCAGCCCGCCCAGGGCCAGGCCTCAGGCCCCGCTGCCACCTCCCGGGCAGGCCAGGGAGCCAGGCCCTGCGGCAAGGCCCAGAGCCACGGAGGGAGAAACCCCACGAGGAAACCTTTTTGGTTCCCAGATGCTGACACGAGCAGAGGCACCCGCAGCAGCCCGGGCCGTCACTGCCGGCCTCCGGAAAGGCCACACGGAATCTGCTCCAGAGAAAGGGATCGGGGCCGGGGCCTCTAGGGCAGGCATGTCAAACTCGCGGGCGCGTGCGGCCAGCCAATGAAGCGGTATGTAAGGAACGTTTTAATAAAAATTTCATAACTTAATGTTTACGATAGCCTGTTATGCATAATTATTAGTAACGAACTGCAACACTCGCTAATGACTGATGACTATAATCGTGTTGCACTCACTTCCCTCTCGCGCAAGCGCGCCGTTTCTCTCCACTCACACCAGCAGCGAGCGTTTTAGCAGCCGACGGCCGCGTCATTAGTCTTGGACGGATGTGTTTGGTGTGTGCACAACAGGAAGTGTTTCGCTTTCCGAGAACGAGAAACATAGGTTTATTTGTGTGACACTTATTAATTTGTGCAGTTAATCAGTGTCTGGTAAGTTAATATCCAAGAACATGTTCTATTGTTAACATGTTCGATTATTTGGTTACCGATGACTTCCTTATTCCAGCCCTTTGTATTCAGCGTGTCTCTATCAAAATAAACATATCATAGACACCTACGTGTCTATGAGAATTGAAGCTTTTGTTGCTTTGCAGCCCACATACACGTAAACCTTGTTTATCCGGCCCGTGTTAGCCTCTGAGTTTGACATGCTTGGTCTAGGGCAGCGGTTCTCAGCCTCTTTAATGCCGCGGCCCTTTAATCCAGCTCCTCGTGTTGTGGTGACCCCCAACCATAACATTATTTTCGTTGCTACTTCATAGCTGTGCTGTTGCTACTGTTATGAATCGTAATATAAATATCTGTGTTTTCTGATGGCCTTAGGTGACCCTGCTAGTGGTTCTCAAGCTGTGGGTCACGACATTAGAAAGGGTGAGAACCTCTAGCAGGGTAGCCTAAGACCATCGGAAAACACATTTACATTACAGTTCACAACAGCAGCAACATCACAGTTATGAAGTAGCAACGGAAATAATGTCATGGTTGGGGTCTCCACAACATGAGGAGCTGGATTAAAGGGCCGGGCATCAGGAAGGCTAAGAACCGCTGCTCTGGGGGATCCCGGCGGGACAGCCAGGAGGAGATCACCATCACCATCAGGAACAACCTCTCCCGGAAGTCAGCAGCCCGGCAAACACCGCCGATCAGATAAACACGGGAAGGAACCCCGTCAGACCACGTTAGAGCAGAAATGAGGAAAGTGGGTCAGGGCGTTGGTGGGGCGCAGGGGAGGGTGGGGTGTGTTTGTCCAGATTAGTTAGATCCTGCTGACAAGGAACAAGCTTTGCCAGCCGGAGCCCTAGACTCAGAGGCAGGGTCGAGCCCCCGCCCGGCCACACCGCTGCGCTGTGGCTCCGTGGCTCCATCTACAAAGGAGACCCTTTCTGCGCCCTCAGCCTCCCCCACGCCTGGCACTGCTCGGAGCACCTCATAGCCTCAGGGCAGCCGGGCAAGGCGAGCATCACCTCCCTGCCAGAGACGAGGGGGCCGGAGCCTCAGACCTGCGGGGGCTGGCCCGGACCAGGAGCTGGATGGGAGCAAGGGCGGAGGGAAACGAGGACGGTCTGACCGGGCCCGGGGCGCTCTCGTGCCAGCACCGCTGCCTTTCTGCAGGTCCAAGTGCATGTTCCCCGATACATGAGGTGACCAGACGTCCCGGTTTTTAACAATTTGTGTGCCGTGTCCCGCAGCGTTTTAAAATAGTCCCGGTCACCACGGCACAAACTGTTAAAAACCGGGACATCAGTACTGTTCTAAAATGCTGAGGGACGCGGGACAAACTGTAAGAAATCGGGGCTGTCCCCGCCAAAAGCGGGACGTCTGGCCACCTTCCCGACACTGGCCAGAGGCCGGGGAGCCCCGGGCCGCCCCCCCCCCCCCGGGAGGGCTCAGCTCACCTGAGGCGTTGGCGCCGGGGCCGTCGTTGGGCTTCTTGCCCTTGAACTCCACTTCGGCGAAGTTCTCGGTGGAGAGGGAGCCGGCCATGCCGTTGGGCGTGGCGGGCCGCTTGGCGCGGCGACTGAAGAGCCGGTAGCTGAAGCGCTTGCCCTCCTTGGCCTGGGCCGCGTCCCCGTTGAGCGCCTCCCCCTTGCCGTTCTGGGCGAGGGCCTCCCGGGCCTTCGGGTCCACGGGCAGGGGAGAGCCCGGCCTGCCCTTCCGGCTCAGCGCCCCCATGGGCACGGGCTCCACGGGGGGCAGCACCTGCTCCAGCGTCACCAGGTCGTGCAGGAAGTTCTCCAGGCGCTGGGCCGACTCGCCGCTCGGGCTGTCGTCCTCCTGGCCGCCGGGGCCGCCGCCGCCGGCCTCCCGCTGCTGCCGGGCAGCCCAGCGCATCATCTCCCCGGGCGGGTGGCGGCTGGCGGACAGCAGGGCGTACTTGGGGTTGATGAGCTTGCGGGCCACGGTGGAGGAGTAGGGGCCGTACGCGCCCGCCCCTCCGGCCAGGCCCAGCTGCTGGTGCAGGTTCACCTCCTCGGAGATGGCGTACAGCTCCCGGAACTCCACGTCGAAGGGCTCCACGTTCTGGCCCGTCAGGAGGAGCAGGAGGTTCCTGTCCACGTACGAGGAGCTCCAGGTGAACCTGGGGGGGGGGGGGGGTTGGGGACGGGAAAGCAAGACACGTGTGCCCGGGCCCATGGCCTCGCCCTGCCACGCGGGCCGGGGGAGGGCGCCGCCCAGCCTTCGTGCCGGGATCCCGTCCCTCCACGGGCCCAAGCCTCCCCTTTGGCCCGGGTCTTGGCCTCAAGGGCAGAAAGCAGGCAGTGGGTGCCAGGCGAGGGGGTGAGAAGTCGGGCCCGGGTTCCACCCTGGTTTCTAACCCCGTGTAACACGGGGCACACGGGGCTCACGGGGGCGCCGGCACAGAGCTGCTGCGAGGCTCGCGGTGGGTAACGTGTATACAGCGGCTAGCCAGCGGCGGCCACAAGCCCACGTTTAGTAAATAGACACTGGAGCTGCTACTCTTTCTAACATCATCCCGTTCCTTGTTGGCTTTCCGGTGACTTTTCAGAGCACCGAGTGTCTGTGACAGCCCTGCGTGCGCTGTGCAAGAGGACGCAGGCCTGCCGAAACCGGTTTGGCTCGGTGGATAGAGCGTCAGCCTGCAGACTGGAAGGTCCCAGATTCGACTCCGGTCAAGGGCATGTACCTTGGTTGCGGGCCTCTTGTCACGCCCTTGCTCCCATCCAAGAGGCCCAGTAGGGGGTGTGCAGGAGGCAGCTGATTGATGTTTCTCTCTCATCGATGTTTTTAACTCTCTATCCCTCTCTCTTCCTCTCAAAAAACTCAATAAAATATATTAAGAAGAAGAAGAAGAAGAAGAAGAAGAAGTGAAGAAGAAGGAGGAAGAGGAGGAGGAGGAGGAGGAGGAGGAGGAGGAGAAGAAGAAGAAGGAGAAGAAGAAGGGGACGCAGGTCCTGTGTGGCTGGTTTCGGTACCCGGGCTTCTCTCTGGCAGCTAGACTTTAATTCACGCGGAGGGCAGACCCTCGCACAGACATGGCCTCCTACGCTCCTGATAATCTACTTTAGCCTCAGAATTCGGGGGACGTTCCTTCCACGTCACACCCTCACATTTCTTTACGGGGATCTGACCCATTCTGCTTCCTGCTTGTCCCGCCCGACAGCGAGCCTCACTGCAGCCATGGGCGGCGGGGGACCGTGAAAAGCAGCTGCGCTTATGTCCGGGAAGCGCTGGCCCTCTCTCCGGGCCACCAAGTGTGAGGGGAAGGATGAGCTGGGAGGCTCTTCTTTGCCATCGGATCAGACGATACCTCGGGAGCCCGAGGCCACGGAGGCCCCGCCCAGCCCATTCCCGAATATGAGCGTTTATCACGAGGAAGAACGGCCTCCCCGGCCCTTCTCTGACCTGTAAGATCCCGTGGCGACTTTGTCACCATCGACCATTAAGAACTTGGATGACAGGGTCCCTCTGATCTTCCCCATGGGCATGTAGAAGCCAACGCCCGTCACGGAGCGGACACGGATGTTCTGTGGAGAAGAGGAGAAAGACGGGGTCACGCGGGCTGGGGCCTGCGGGCCTCTGAGCTGGGCAGCGGAGGGGCGCTCTCGTCCACGGGACCTGCCTGCCGGCCCCTGCCCGCACTCAGCTCTGCTCCCCGTGGCCCTTGCAGGAGACCCCCAACTGGATGGCGGGGAGAAGTCAGCAAATCTCGCGTTGGGAGTGGATAACCTCCGGGTGGCTCCTGCCTGTGCCCAGAGCTCCCCAGAAGAGAGCCACGGCCCCAGCTTTGACCTTGGACGACGGGCTGAGCACCCAGATCTGGGCCAGAGCTGCCTCCTTAGCCTCAGCGGTCTTGTGATAGAATGTAAGCGTGGCGTGTAAGTTAGGGTTATCGGTTCGCGAGGTCAGGTTTTAGACAGAAGAGACTGAGATCGTGATGTTCGTCTGAGGCCCCTGAACGGGAGAGGAGGCAGGGAAAGGGGCAGAGGCCCTCTCTGTCTCGGTTTCTGGGCGACTCACCCGGATGCGGTAGTCCGTGAGCTCCAGGCCCTGGCACATCTCCAGGAAATACTTCACGCCCGGCTCGTCCAGGAGGATGTACACGGGCACCCGGCGCTTCGAGGCAGCGTCCACAATGTCTTGGAAGATGTCGCCGTCGGTGAAGAGGTCCATGACCACGGCAATGACCTGGGTGGGGAAGGGCGCTGGTGAGGCGCGTGGTGACCTCACACCCGCAGACACACGCCCGGGCCCAGCGAGGGCCCACCGGGCCTGGAGCGACTGGTGGCCAAAGTCATAAACTCCGCCGGAACCTCTCCTGGTTCCTCACTCCTCACCCGTGTCTGAGCGCCTCTGCGCCCGCTGCTCTGGGAACCCCCGAGGGTGCAGGCCGTCCTGACAGACCTCTCCCCCTGAGGAGTCCCCAGCAGCTCTGCAGAAGCAGGATGGGCCAGTCTGGGAGGCTCAGGACCCCGTGGCGACAAGCAGGCTCAGAAGGTGTGATCATGGAGAGGCAAGGAATGGACTCGTTCCCACAAGCCGCAGACAGACCTGCTCCAGCGCCTCTCTCTGCGGGCGCTCTGATCTCCCCGCAGCTTCCCTCAGGCAGAGCTGAGGGAACAGCCCTGCGCTTCCCTGTGGGCCGAGCTGGGCAGAGCTCAGTGAGCTCGGCCTCTCCGGCCTCCGGTGTGCAGGCCATCCCACTCCATCCGCAGAGCAAGGTCACTGCCGAGGACCCTGGGTTTCCATGCTGGCAGGCCGGGCCTTCTGCAGCCGGAGGCAAGCTTTTCTGACCTCAGCTTCCCCTATCTCCCTCCCCCCCCCCCAGCCCCCGTGCAAGGGTTTTCCTGCTGGCCCCAAGCACTGTGCACATGACGCAGAAGACAGAGCAGGCTTCGGGGTCAGAGAGATCTGGTTAGGCGACCTTTCCTTGGATGTGACCTTAGGCAGGTCGCTTAATCTTGATGAGCCTCCTTATCTGCAAAGGAGAGGTGCCCGGTCGTACTTCCGCCGTTAGGATGACAGACAAGGTCTGCGAAGCATCGAACACGGTGCCTGGGACGGAGCGAGTCCTCAACAAACGGACGCGGCTGTGTGGGCGAGGGCACCTGCTGGTCTAGTGGGTACCATCTCCCCGCTGACTGGTCAGAGCGCCAGTTTCCTTGGCAGCAACATGGAGCGAATAGTAACACCTATCTCAGTGCTGTCGGGAGGGCTGAGAAACTGTGGGAGCAGTTAACACAGGCCCCTGCACATGGGAAGCCTAATGAGTGGTACCCTCCATACCATCACCGTTATTTAAAAAAAAAAAAAAAAAAAAAAAAAAAAATATATATATATATATATATATATATAAAACCTAAAAATCAATATATATATTATTGATTTTTACAGAGAGGACGAGAGAGGGATAGAGAGTTAGAAACATCGATGAAAGAGAATCATTGATCAGCTGCCTCTTGCACATCCCCAAGGTACATGCCCTTCACCTGAATCGAACCCGGGACCTTTCAGTCCGCAGGTCGATGCTCTATCCACTGAGCCAAACCGGTTTCAGCATCACCGTCATTTTTATCATCACCATCACGCAAGTGCATTGCCATGACTCCTGCCTCTAAAGAACCCCACCCCCAACACCATCCACACAGCATTACTTAAGGCTCTTCTGAGCGCCTACGTTTAACATCCCATCATTTATACAAGTAACACTGACTGAGCTGCCCAGGCAGAGGGAGGATCTAAAGACAAATAAACTCTAATCCCTAACTTCAAGGGATTAATCCAGGAGGAACGATAAGACATTTGCACAACAGAACTAAGACATGAGGTGTGATGAAATCAATGCCTTAAGAGATGCACAGATGAGATGTGATGTGAATTCAGGGTGGGGGCCAGGAGGTGAAGGAAGGAAATATATTGATTACTCTCAGCCAGGGGAGAACAAGAAAGACTTCCACGAGGAAGCTGACACCTGGAGAATGGGCAGCGGGGGGGGGGGGGGGGGGGGGGGGGACCATGAGAAATGGGCAGAGAGGGAGACAGAGCAGGGAAGAAAGGAGAGGGATAGAGAGTTAGAAACATCGATGAGAGAGAGACATCGATCAGCTGCCTCCTGCACACCTCCTACTGGGGATGTGCCCGCAACCACGGTACATGCCCTTGACCGGAATCGAACCTGGGACCTTTAAGTCGGCAGGCTGACGCTCTATCCACTGAGCCAAACCAGTCTCGGCAAGGGGCACCTTTTCTAACCTGCACACAGGTGCCACACGGGCTGGCAGGTGCCTAGCGGGTGGGCATTTCAGGCAAACAGCACAGCAGAAAGGCCTGAAGGCAGGGATTCACATGCACTGAACAGTCTTAACGTGCCTCACGCTGCTCCAGGTGCTTTGGGCAACTTTTCTAACCCGATCCTCACAATGAGGAGGATGGTGGTGCTATAAAAGAGGACAGAGGGGTAAGTGCAGAGGGGCAAGAAATGTGCCCGAGGCCACACAGCATGTAGCAGAGCTGGGATTTGGACTCGGGTCCTCTGTTTGACCTCCACGGTCTTCACTGCACTGCATCATACTGGGTCACAAAGACGGGGCAGCTGTAAGTTATTTTAGAAACATCACGTAAAAACAAACAAACTGGCTTTAAAAAAAAAGACTAAACAAGATAGACAAATTTCTAGCAAGACTGACAGGCCTAACCGGTTTGGCTCAGTGGATAGAGCGCCGGCCTGCGGACTCAAGGCTGTGTGGGAAGGTCCGCTGCTTGCGTCTATAGACACTTAATGGCGTACAAAGGGATAATAAAACCCAATAAAAGTTCAGTACATTTTTTTTTTTTTGAGGAACCCAAATACTTCTAAGATGTGAGAAAGAAAAAAGATCCATGACAGCTAAGCCAATTTTGAAAAAGAAAAGCTAAACGGGGACCCTTGTCCTACCAGAGAGCAGATACGCTACAGCGCTTATAGCAGTAAGAGCTGAAGTAGGAAGGAACTGACGGATGGAATACAATGGAGAGACAGTCAACCTGCACAAAACTCCAAGTCTGACAGAGGCAGGATCACACCTCGGTGAGGAAGGTTTAGTAGACGCTATTGGGGAAACTGGCTTCCTGTGTAGAGAAAAATGAGTGGATCCTTACCTCACACTATATATCAAGGTGAACTGCAGGTAGGCTAAGTAGCTAAATGTGAAAGATAAAACTAAGAAAGGAATTGATGATATGTAGTGAGATATCTTCATGACACGGGCAATAAAGGATTGCTCAAGATTCCAAAAGCAGAAATCCTAAGGCAAATGAAAAATTTAAAAGCCGTGCTGCGCAAATTAGGGATTTTTTTTGTTCAAAGAATGATGCCATAGACCACGGTAACTGAAGGGTGACAGGGAGAGGATTTATGCAATGTCTGTGATAAAAAGGAATTAATAATATATAATGATTCCTGCAAATTTTTTAAATTAATTTTTTATTTTAGAGAGAGAGGAAAGGCGGGGAGAGAAAGAGAGGGAGGAGAGGGAGAGGGAGAGAGAGAGGAAGAAGGAGAAGGAGAAGGAGAAGAAAGAGGAAGAAGAAGAGGAAAAGGAAAGGGAGAGGGAGAGGGAGAGGGAGAGGGAGAGGGAGAGGGAGAGGGAGAGGGAGAGGGAGAGATAGAGATACAGATCAATTTGTTGTACACTTATTTATGCATTCATTGGTTGGTTCTTGTATGTGCCCTGACCCAGGATTGAACTTGTAACCTTGGCGTACCTGGAAGATGCTCTAACCAACTGAGCTACCCATCTAAGGCCAGGACCTCTGCAAACTGGCAAGGAAAACAAACAAACCAGGACACTAATTAGGAAAATGGGCAAAAGATATGAAGAGGCAAGTCCTAGGGGAGATATCTGAGTGGCTAATAAGTATATAAAGCGATCAGAAGAATTCAAATTAAAGCAGAGAAATGGTGAGAGGGAACACTGGTGCAGCTACTCCCAGGAGCAAGGAAGGGCGCTCAGGGGACTTACGGGTGTGTCTAACGGCAGCCAGCACCCGTTAGACACACCCTGGGCCTCCTGGGCCTCTGCACGTGTTGACAAGGGGCCAGGGACAAGGACACTCACTGCAGCTTTCTTTAGGATAGCAAAGAGCTGGCAACACCTTAATGTGAATTTCTAGAAGAAGAGACACCAGGTATGTCAGGAATGTGCACAGCAGCACGGCAGACAGAAGCAATGAACTGTCTGCACATAGAACTTGGTATCTTTAAAACAGAGAGTTTGGTTTAAAATGTTAGAGGACAAGATCTATAGCCTAATACCGGGGTAAATAAAACAACACAGCGTGTTTTTCAAGGATTCAGACATGGCCAAGGACATAAGCTAAATACCCACGGGTGGCTGCCTAGGGGAGGAGAAAGGAAGGGAGGGAAGGAGGAAGGAAAAGGAGAGGGAGGGTCCTCCATGAACTGATGGAGGCTGTGGAGCACAGACTGCGACTCACAGTCAGCGCCGTATTGGAGATCCGGAACAGACAGGTGGCCTGGAGCAGTTGGGGGTAGGTACGGCGGAGGGGCTGGGCTTAACTACAGAGGTTTTTAACGTGACACTTCTGGCCTCCTTCCGTCAGAACACGGCTTCCCCCATCTTGGAGGAAATGATGTCTGATCTCCCAGTGCCGTCTGAGCCCAGAGCCCACCAGATGCTCATTTCCAGACGCTCCACAGCGTCCAGCTTGAAGCCGGCTCCCAGGCTGTGGCTGTGGCCGGGGCTGGCTGGACTGGCTCTGGGAGGCGCTTCTGGATCCGCGGCGGCTTTTGTTTTGTGATGGAAAGAGCTGCCCTGCCCCCACCCGCGAAGGCTGTGACCGGTCGGGATCACAGATGGGAGGGAGAGAAAATCCGAGGGCCCCGTATTCCCGCTTGCTCTGTGGCACCCTGGTGCGAGCCGGCCATCGGTGTCACCGCCAATTAAACAGTGAACTGTCTGTCCCAGGAAAAAATCAATTGCTCGCTGACTCGCGACTCCGGCAATCTCCTTGTGGAGGAGAAGCGATAATTACCCTCCACGTGGGTCTCCCAGGCCCCCGTTGGCACCCAGCTCCAAGCGCCAGGCCCGGTGGGTAATGTGCCACGTGACCCTCCGCAACAGACTGGGCTTCAGGACTCCTGGCGTCAGTGCCAAACCGGGTTTTAAAAGGATGTCACAGGCTCGGAA